GTTTTTAAAAGGGTGTGTTGCAGTGGAGGTGCTTGCAAGTTTCCCTTTTCCTTCGTCAGCTGCCGTTTTGCCTCTTGTCGGGGGGGAGATTGAGGGGAGTGTGCAGGGGGGGGGTTGACATGGTTTTTAAAAGGGTGTGTTGCAGTGGAGGCGCTTGCAAGTTTTCCTTTTCCTTCGTCAGCTGCCGTTTTGCCTCTTGTCCTTCCAGACCCGGCACTCCCCCCGCCGACACCGCTGCCACTGCCCGCCATAGTGCCGTGGAAGTGGAGGACGCAAGGACCAACAGCGAGGGGGAAAAGAGAGTAAAAGTATTGGAAGAAAAAGAAGAAGAGAAAGGAGGAGAAATAGAAGGAGAACAAGAAGAAGTAGAAGAAGAAGTGAAGAAGGAGAAGCTGCTGTCTGCCCGTATAATATGGGCAGGAAAAAAAAAAAAAAAAAAAAAAAAAAAGAACGGAAGATAGGGGCCAGTACAAAATGGCTGGCGGATATGCGAGATGGTGGACGGTATGATATGGGGGAGGAGGACGACGCCGAAGAGGGAAGAAGAGGACGAAAGAGGAGGAGAGGAGCAGCAGCAGAAAAACGAAACAGACAAAAGGAGGAGGAGGGAAGAACAAGCAGGAGGAACAGGCGGAGGAGGAGGAAGAAGAAGAAGATCAAGAAAGGAAGAAGAAGAAGAAAATCAGAGGAGGAGGAGGAGGAGGAGGAGGTGAAAACGAAGAAGACGACGGCGAGAGGAGGGGGACGAGGAGGAGAGGAAAGGAGGAGGAGAAAAAAGATAGAGACTTGAAAAACAAACAGAAGAAAGGAGGAGGAGGAGGAGAGAGGGATAAGATACGAGGAGGAGGAGGAGGACCTGCCGGTAGTGTATGGGGATTACGGGGACAAAGAAGAGCGAGAGATGGAGGAGGAGGAGGAGAGAAGGAGAAGGCAAAAGTAGGTGGAGGAGGAGGAGAGAAGAAAAAGAAGAAGAAGACGAGAGGAGGAGGACAAGACGAAAGGAGGAGGACAAGATGAAAGGAGGAGGAGGACAAGACGAAAGGAGGAGAGGAGGAAGAGGACCTGCCAGTTTTGCGTGGCAATGACAAAAAATAAAAATAGAGAGAGAGAGAGAGAGAGAGAGAGAGAGAGAGAGAGGAGGAGGAGGAGGACCTGCCGATACTGTATGGGGATGACGGGAAAAAAAAATTAGGATGGTGAAGGAGGACGAGGAGGAGGAGAGAAGGAGAAGGCAAAAGTAGGTGGAGGAGGAGGAGGAGAGAAGAAGAAGAAGATGAGAGGAGGAGAGGAGGAGGAAGAGGACCTGCCGGCTTTGTATGGTGATGACTGGAAAAAACAAAGGACGAGAGAGAGAGAGAGAGAGGAATCCCGCCCGTCAGTACGTCAACTAGCGGTGGGATTTCACCGCAGCTTGCCTATCCTGACACATGGCACTTCTCAGCGCACTGGTGTTGCCACGTGGCACAATGAAATCGGAACAAGGAGGAGGAGGGGGAGGAGGAGGAGGAGGAGGAGGAGGAGGAGAAAGGAGGAGGAGGACGAGGAGGAGGAGGAGAAAGGAGGAGGAGGACGAGGAGGAGTAGGAGGGGCGTTTGATTGACTATATCTATGTAGCTGTAATTAAATTAATACACTTATGTTTATTACGTACTATCTTATTTCATAAATAATCAATATACAAAAATTAAGGATTCTTCTAGTTTTACTAGAAGAATTTATTTTTTGTATATTGATTATGCGAGGAGGAGGATGAGGAGGAGAGGAGAAGAATACGAAAGGAGGAGAGGAAGAAGAAGAAGAAGAAGAGGAAGGAGGTGGAGGAGGCTTGACCACGTTGGCGACAGCAGCTTCATGGGCAGCTCGATGGGGAGGGCTTCTCGATGGGGCAGCTCGACGGGCGGGCTTCGTGACA